GTAATATATAAACGTAAAACATTTTTCTTAAATATATACATGCATATGTTTGTATTTACAGTATATATAGATAATAAATATACACAGTACACGCAGAGATTTTATGTAAACAAAAACTTTTATTTTGGATGCGATTAATCGTTTGACAGCCCTACTTTCTCATAGTGAGCTGGCAATCGATAAGTGAGCTGAGTAAATGTAGTATTCTTTTTTTTTTTATTTAAAAACAAAATATATTTAGGTTGTAAATGGCTGAAACTGTAAATGTTAGAGTTGCATAGGCCAATGTTTTTCTCTGGGTAAAATAATTAAATTATACATGCAAAAACAAAATGAAATCTGTACAAAATATATGCAGGCCTTGACATTATGGATTGCCTGATGGCGTATTTTATGTATTTAGGTTTGCTGACACAACTAGGGCAGGTTTTGGAGAAAATTGTGTGGTTGAAGGTAGGGCAGCAGTCTAATTCAGTCTAATGGAAAAAAGCAAAGCTAAGCTAAAAACACTTGCAGTACCTTTAAGCCGAAATTTTTTTTCCACTTTACTTCAGGACCTCTCCTAGCCAAATGCTCACTGTTAATGGAACCTCATTTGAGTGTGTGATCCCTCAGGGCACATTAGTTTAATATCACTCAGAGTTGAGTATTAGAGACAAAAACAAACTCAGTCTTGCTTCTAATAGCATATAAATGCCTGGGAAATAACCACTAATGTACTTAGCCAAGTCTAAACTTGATGATTCATTACTTAAGCTCTTGTCTGAAGTATTCAGACATCAACCTGTAATCATTTGCGGAAGATCATGGATGGATCCCGTCCCATCAGGAAACAGGTCTAAATTATACCCCACACTGCATCAAAACAATAATCAAAAATGTCAGGGAGACTTTCATCACTCTTTAAAATATACAGTGTTGTTGTTTTCTTATTTTTCCTTCTATTTCTTAAACATGCTTGTTTACACAAGTAAAAGTGCCTGTGCAGAAGTTTGCACTTTATGCTAAAGTATATTGCAAGTTCTCAGAACCATTTAAACATATGAATGCCTAAAAATACTCTTCTTCTAAACCATAGCAAGAAATCCTGTGCCCTTTTCTGGGCCCTTTTGTTGCATGTGAAACAATAGTTAAAAATAGGCGAAGTCTAATCCAGAGCTGCACCATACTCTGAGTAAGTATGTATGAGTGTATTGTGGGGGGGTTGAGTGGGACTCAAAGGGGACTAAAGTGCCCCATTGTGTGCCATGTGCGGAGATGGGCATGATGCCAGTCGTGAGAGCCGGATCGAACTAAAGTTTTCCTCTCATTGAGTAAGGACTGAGTTTATCCAATGGCAAGGCTGTAGAGCTGGATGTATTGATCT